AAATTAAAAAAAAAGAAGAGGATTCAAACCAAGATCTATTTAGTTTCAAAGCCTATGTTCTTTGTATGACACCAGCTATGTTCTCGTGACATAAGCAGCCAGCCATGACACAGAAGCTTCCACAGCTAACTTACAAGTGGCATATGGATATCTGATTCCAAATTATAAACTTAAGGTTTTCAGTTTTTAAATTTAGTAACCATCTTAGCTATAGAAAATTATGTTCAGGTATGACAGAATGAGTCATTCAATTTGGACATAAATAACAAGACCATTTTCATTGCCAATAAAAGAATTATGGGGAAAATATTCAGCCACAAAAACAGATATTGTAGGGAAAGAGGTCTACTGACTGCCCTTTCCCATCTACTGTTTTTGCCCAAGTGATTCTAGCAGCACAGGCAGCACACCTCTGAGCATTCCCCAAAGTTATGTCTGCTGGCTACTTTACCAGTGGGTTTGACCAAAATTGTTTCCACATATACAGCTGCCATTTCTCTCTCCCTGTAAAGCAGGGAATAAATGAAGACATAGCATGCCATTTCTGAAAGTCTGTCAATCCTTAGATGACTAGAATAATAAAGTTATAAACTCTCACTGTGCATAAAGCAGTCAATAAACAATTACCGATGAAAAGCTATAATGTATTTCAAAAAGAAAACATGAATTACAATGCCAAAAAAGAAACTTAAGTGTTCCACTTCCTTCTAGGTTTTAGAGTAACTATCACCAAATGATACTAATAAGATTCCATATAGCCCACTTCTAAGTGCTGAGGAATAAGGTAAATAATAGGACAGCAGAACAACTAGACATCATATGGAGGGGTGACTATAAGATACAGGAACTGCACATAAAGTAACTTTTCATTTAATCCAGCATAGAAGACTTTGAAGAGAGAAGAGAGTAAAAGTTTTATGATGATTTTTTAAAATATAAGAATATATAAAGAACTTTTTAAAAAGTAAGACTAGAACCACAATGTAATCCAAAGGCACATGACAGCAGGAAAAAAGGACAAAGCCCAAAGTAACAATACAATTTAGTATCCTTGTTAATGGAATCAGGAATTATTAAGGTCCATGTCCACACAAAATCTAACAAAGTCAGATTCTGTAGGGCATACAATTTGAGTTAATATTATAAAATAAGTAAAAATAATAAAACATCTGAATTACTTACAACATTTTTTAAAAATTATTAAATACAAATACCAGAACTATAATAGCACAGTGACATCTGGAAGAGGGGCCATTTAATTACTAGACACAAACTATATTATGTCCAATGTTTAAAATGTATGTCTAGGTTTCCTCAATTTTGGGTTTTTGATTTTCTTAAGACCTCTATTTTTTTAGATGATCACATTGTTCCATAAAGATTTCCACAATAAAGAGTTAGCTTCAGTTTGGCCTCCAAATTTTTTCAAATAAAATATACAGTTTAAATCTAGAATCAGATATGGGAATTATGTGGCTGGAATGAGTAATGTAGTTCCAGGTTCAATAAGGGTTTTATTCATAGGAAAGGCAGCAGAATACAACAGACACAAGTATGGCAATATGTAAATCAGTGGATGTGTAACCGATGTGATTCTGCAATCTGTATACGGGGTAAAAATGGGAGTTCATAACCCACTTGAATCAAAATGTGAAATATGACATATCAAGAACTATGTAATGTTTTGAACAACCAACAATAAAAATTAAAAAATATATAAAAATAAAACAAAACAAAAAAAATAAGGGTTTTATTCAATATTTCTCAGTTTTAATGTACATTTAATAGTATCTTTCAAGACTAAGAGAAACAGTCAAAAAGATCAGGGTCTTTGGTAGAAATTACTGGTGTTTTTCTATTCAACAATAACTTGAGTTCTACGATGTTACTAACATTATTTCAAAGTTAAACATTGAGCACATTCTTACCCTTAAAACCTTAATATGTCAAAAGCAAAACACATTTGAAAATTTTTAAACTATTCTGCCCCAAACAATATAGGTGAAAAGCATGACTGATTAAAAAAATAAATAAAAATACACATCTTTGAAGTCATGAAAAGCTATTTTCCAAGAAATATTTGTCACATATTTTACCTTGAAAATTATACATATTCATTTTTAAAAAGGACAATGTGAGGGGCTGGGGCTGTAGCTCAGTGGTAGAGCACTTGCCTAGCACATGTGAGGCCCTGGGTTCTATCCTCAGCACCACATAAGAATGAAATAAAGATAATGTGTCCAACTAAAAAATATTAAGTATTAAAAAAGGTTTAAAAAAATAAAAAGGACAATGTGATAATGCTGTCTATTTTAATACAATGAAATAATATAAAAATCTAAAATTAGAGTATAGTAATAAAACTGAGCAGTCTTAGTTTATTGTACCAATTAAAAATGAAAGGCTAATTCATACCTTTCCAACTGCTTCTGATGTTTCTCCTCCCTAGCCTGAGCTTTCATCTGTTGTACTTCAATAGTATCAGGCTTTCTTCGTCGCATGTACAGTTCATGGTTTCCCATACATAAGGCCAAAATCCGCTTATTGATTCTTAGACGCGGTGCATAAAAAACAAAATCCTGAACATAAAATATTCTGATTTAAAACCTTTCTGAAAGATAGTGTCTTTCATATCTATTAAATTTCAACATGAGGTATGAATTCTAATGCCAATATATATACATAGTTAGAAATCATTACATTTCCTAATTCCTAATTCCTAGTTCCTTACCTCTGCATGCCTAACCAGTTTTATACAGAGATTAATATCTTATTCTCTCATTACTTTAAATGTCATTCTTTTTTCTTTTCCAAATAACTATGACCACCTGTTCCTTACCACCATAGGAGATTATTTTGTTTAGCTTTTCACAATTAATGTCAAAATTAGTCCTTGTTTGTGGCTTTCAACCTAGAAATGTCCTCCATATCTTTTTGTTTTCAATAACCAGCAGAGATAGAATGCTAGAGTATCCCTGACATTAGCTAAATGTTAAAAATCTGTTTAAAAATCCAAGGCTCCAAGCGAAAGAAAAAAAAATTTATAATATAAAACTCAATAAACAGAGTTAACTATCTCTACTATATTCCAGTCACCAAATAATTTTTAAATTGTTTCTTAAAAATGGTGAAACATTTGTTACTTTACCACTGGGAAAGTTAAAACTAAAAAAAAAAAAAAAAAGAGAATGTACCTCAAAAGCAATTCAATAAATGATTAATGCCATTCTTCAAGAGACATCATAGGGAAGTAGCAGAAATTTAAAGAGTTAAAACATAAATTTACTTACAGGTGCCTTTTTGTCGATTGGCTTTATAACAAATTTTTTGTCATTAAATGAAATATTTCTGATTTCACTCCAGGGAAAGCCAATTTTAGGTGTTAACCTTAAAAAGTAAGAGCATCCCTTTAATTAAAGGCAGGAAACAACAGAAAAAGTTAATCAATTCTTGGGGGCCGTTTGGCAATCCTAAAGAGTTATGTTTTCAAAATGTTTTTTTAATAGAAATTTGACATATTGAATCACATAATAACCTCTCAAAGAGTTTATAAATGTGTCATGAACCTTTAAAGCATTATTTTCCTAAAATTATGTAGGAAAAAATATCTGGTAATCAGAGTATAGAAATAAATCTCTTGGAGTCTATATTATTTTAGATTTTTATTCCGTTTTTAAGCTACTACAACTTTCAGTTAAATATGTTTAAGAAAGAAAGGGCAAAAATTGGATTATGAACATCATGTGGAATATGAACATCAATTAGTACCTTCTTGTTAAATGTTTAGATATATGAGTATATTAAAAACATTGGATTTTCCGTATACTTGGAAAGAATTAATGTAATGGTATATGAATTATATCTCAATTTTAAAAATTCTAAAGTTTTCACAAATGGCTGGATAAGTGGTAGAACTAAAATTCAAACTCTATATGACAGTTGTCCCTTTTTATCACCCTACATATAAAAATACAGGGAATCTGATTGGAGTAAGTAATTTTGTTTCTGCTTTTTCATATATTTTACTTTTTCAGACTATCAATCAAATCACATAAGTGAGAAATGACTGACTCTTACACTAGCCAAGAAGTCATCCAGGCTACTCATAACTAAGAATTTCTAGCTATCTGTACTACCTTTAATACTTAAGCAGATAGGTACTACAGCATAGCAAATTGTTTTTTTTTTTACATAAAACATTCTTTACACAATATGCATGTGTTATTCTAGCCTCTAATGCCCACTAAATCAAAGTAAGCTGCTTGAAAAGGAAGTGACAGAAACACAACCACAACTCTACAACTGAGCCACACCCACTGTCCCCTGCCTCCAGTCCTTTTTATGTTGAGACAGTATCTCACTAAGCTGCCTAGACTGGCATCAAACTTGTGGTCTTCCTGTCTCAGCCTCCTCAGTAGCTAGGAATTACAGGCATGAACCACAGCATCCAGCTGGAACACAATACTTTTAAGGTAAAACTTCGCTACATTTATTTGCTACTTTTAAAAAATTACAAGAATATAATTGTGAGAATTATATTGTGAGCCTGGAAACAAGTAGAAAAATTTTTTTCCCTTTCTTTTGGCATTAGGGATTGAACCCGGTGGCCCTTTATCATGAGTCATATCCCCAGCCCTTTTTTTTAATATTTTGAGATAGGGTCTCATTGAGTTACTTAGGGCCTTCTTAAGTTGCTATGGCTAGCTTTGAACTCAAGATTATCCTGCCTCAGCCTCCCAAGTCATTGGGATTTTCAGGCATACACCACCACACCTGGCTCAAAGATTTTTTTAAAAGGAGAAAAAATTAAAATCCATTCATAATTAGTCTTAAGGTAATTTCTGCCTTTGAAAAACCTGCTAAATTTTCTGTAGTGAATTATATAGCTAGCATTCTAACTTGCTTTGTATAGAGTAAAAATTGAAAAATTCCTTTTCTGGAGTCATAATTAAAGACTTTGAAATATATACTTTATTAGACAGGTATAATCTGAAAACTAAAATTCTGGAGCCAACCTAGAATAAAAAACAATGCCTTAGGAAAAGGCAATACTGACACAGACTTCAATGCTTATGTGGTTTGGTAATAATGTATAATTGTAGCAATTATTCCCCAAAAGTTCTACCAGAATCTGATATATTTATATGATATTACATACATTTATATATATTATATATATGCCCATATAGTATATATACAGATATATGCCCATATAGAGTGTGTGTGTGTGTATATATTTATGTATAATGCAGTACTGACAAGCTGGTCACTTTTAAAATATAATCAGACTGTTTATTATGCTTAACATTCTATTCTTGTCCAAAATATTCAAAACAATTCCTATAAACATTCAAAAAATGTTTCAAAACCCAATGTATATATTTCTATTATAACTTCTCTCATTGCTTATGATTTCTTATACATGTTAACTTTAACCTATTTGTCAGTATCATAACATCTAAGGAATTATCCTTAACCTATTGATTTTAGTTATGTCTGATAAGAAGATATAACTCAAAATGAGATAAACTACGACTCAAATAAAAGTCACCCCATTTGATAAACACCAAGAAGTAGAACTTTTGAAACTGCAAGGTGCTAAGAAAATGGAAATACAAATGCCTATAAGCGTGGTAGCTTGAGAAGCCAGGGCAGGAGGATCACAAATTCAAAACCAGCCTCAGCAACTAAGCAAGACCCTATCTCAAAATGAAAAAGGGCTGGGGATTTGGCTCAGTTCTTAAGCATCCCTGGTTTCAATCTCTGGTACCAAAACCAAAACAAAACAAAAAAACTGTAAGGGTAACCAAGAAACCACTTTTACAAACAGAATATAATTTGATAGACATTTACACCACCGACTAACAACTAGCTCATTATGCAGTTGATTTACTTACTTGTCATCATGCTCATAAATATTCAGACCCAAAGCATCAACGCCTAGCCACAATTCGGTACCCTTTTTATTTTTTATTTCAAAATAGTTGACACCGTACATTTCTAGATCTTGCGCAATCTTCAAGTATTCCATCATTGAATCTTCCCTGTTGAAATAAAGCTAAATGTAATATATTTAAGTGGAAGAATCTAAATATCAGATTAAAACTACAAAAATACATTGTATTGAAATTTAATGTTTTATTCATAAAACTCAAATGATTGGGGGGGACATAATACATAACAGAGTTGAAAATTTTTAAATAAAATAAAAATACTTTAACTTGAAGGAAAACATAGTCACCAAAATACCTTAGCATTCCTCTATGTTCTTCATGCCAGTTCTGTATTCTTTCTTCCCATTGTTCTTTTGTCAGTTTATGTTGTTCCAAAACACTGGGAAGAAAAACAAAACAAAACTATTTTAATACTTTTGTGATTTCTGGCCCAGTAGTGAGGTAGCATACACCTGTAATCCCAGTGGCTAGGGAGGCTGAGGCAGGAGGATTGAGAGTTCAAAGCCAGCCTCAGCAACAGTGAGGCACTAAGCTACTCAGGGAGACCCTCTCTCTAAATAAAATACAAAATAGGATTGGAGATGTGGCTCAGTGATTGAGTGTCCCTGAGTTCAATCTCTGGTAGCCCCCCTCCAAAAAAAGTCTAAAATCCTTTCAGTACTTTGACCATGGTAGCAGTCATACAAATTAATATATGTGAATAAAAATTACACATAACTAAATATATACCCAAATAAGAGCATGTAAAATTGATGAAATCTAAATAAGGTAGAGTGTGTCAATGTCAGTATCTTGGTACCACACTATAATTTTTCAAGATGTTACCACTAGAGAAGGCTGAGAGGACACACAGAATTTTTTTTTTTAAAGAGAGTGAGAGAGAGAGAGAGGAAGAGAGAGAGAGAATTTTAATATTTATTATTATATTTTTTTTAGTTCTCGGCAGACACAACATCTTTGTTCGTATGTGGTGCTGAGGATTGAACCCGGGCCGCACACATGCCAGGCGAGCACGCTACCGCTTGAGCCACATCCCCAGCCCAACACACAGAATTTTTTTAAATTAACATTACATTTGAATCTACAATAATATGAAATTTTCAAGATAGTTTAAATTATCTTAAATGCAGTCTTTAAAATATCTATTGTAAATGTGCTTATGGGAATTTCAAAAACTGTAGTATTAAAACACTATTGTTTTATGATGTAAAATTTTTGCATTAAACCAAGGGATTTCTTGGCAATATAAAGTAATATAAGGTATAAAATCTTCCCTGGACAAGTCAGGTGCAACCTAAGAATAGATTTCTTAATGGAGTCTGACTATTATATTCTCTATGCATCCTCTTTTAAGCTCTTGTTTTTGGGGAGAACAGTTTTGTCACTCTTCAGAGCACTTACATTTCCACATTTTCTCTTGCTGTCTGGACTCTGGGCTCACCATGAAGCATGCAGTAGCCTCAGAGGCTTAACCTACTGTAATAATTGTTCACTATCATATGCCTAGTAAGAACACTGAAGAGATACTAAAAATTTGTAGAACATACAAATGAAATAATCATTTTCCCTCCTTTAAAGGAACAAGTCTAGAAACCCATGCTCTCCTAGCCCTAGAGAGTATATTTTTTCTTTTTCAGAGGTAAACTTCTTTTAAGGACTGCCCACATTTATTAGCTTTAATTTCCATACCCAACAGGCATTGCCCCCAATCTACTACCACCTGCTTCAATCTAGAACACTATACTGAAGCTATTCTTTGTTTGGGTTTTTTT